AAAGATACCCCTTCTTCAAGTATAAAACATGAAAATGGCGTATTTTGCTATCAAATGAATAGAAAAAAGAATAGTGCATGTTTTCCATAAAATATAGTTAAATTTATAATGACGCCGAAAATTAATAGAAGAAATGACAGGCTGAAAACGCGGCCCCATCTGGTCATTTCCTAATCATTTACCCGCGAATTTCGTTTTAATATCGACTCCAGTAGGTGGGTTTCTGTTTATTGTCAGGGTTAGGGTTAAGGTAAGGGTTTATTATTACGGTTAGTGGCTTAGGGTTAGTATTTGGGGGTTAGGGGTTTAGGGTCCAGTGTAAAGGTTAGTATTTAGAGTTAGGGTTTTAAATTAAGGTTTGGGGCTAGGATTTAGAGTTGGAGTTTGGCGTTACTATTTAGGGTTTAACTTTAGAGTTCTACCGTTTACCAGATGGGGCCGCGTTTTAGGCCTCTGTCGAAAAAAAATCATAACACATAAGTAGTCAGAATACTTGTCCGCATGCTGCAAGATGTCGGAAAACCATTTAAAATTCAAATTCAAACGTCCACTGGCTAACTGAAAGTTTATTTTCTCTTCCAAAATAACTCGCAGACTGAGGGGGAGGGGAATAGGGGGTGGTTCCCGGCTTTGAGGACTCGCCGTCCTCAAAACGCCCATTGGGCGCCTGTTCTTTGATTAGAAGGAAAGGTATTTTTGGCCAGCAACACTGCATCCAGCGGTTGGGACATCCCATTTCATCCGTTGGTTGCGTCTCTCGACAGTTCGTTGCCGATGATGTCCACCGTGTGCTCCACAGCAAGGTGAGAGAGTAGGGACGGGGACTTGTGCGTGTGTTAGTTTATAGTGAATGCAGGCTTGCACAGCATTTACCGCACTCTCTCCTCCCTTACCTGGGCCCGGTATCAAGACAGAGTCAAGAAGACCGGAGCAGGGGGGGGATGACGCGGTCGAGCCCACATCTTGACGCTCCACTCCACACCCCCTAGTCCACACAGCAAATGACCAGGATTTTCACCAAACGCAACAATGGGGAGGACTGCAGTGTGCGCGACCTCTGCCGGCAACTGGGTTTGCAATCGCACCCGGAGACGTTGACATTTTTATGGTGCGTATTCCGATAACGCCTGCCGGAATCCGATATGGCACCCATGTTGGTTCAACGTATCGACCACATGGCCCACTGAGGGGTTCAAACAGTCGGAAGTTCGATTGGCTCGTGGCGCGCGTCTATCCGGCTGTGTTGAGTTCGCGCAAGCCCATAACCACCGTTGTACATGCTTCCGGTGACACTCACTAGATGTAGGCATTCGCACTGTGCCAGCCATCGCGCCCAATTCCGCCACCCGTCTGTTGACAGGCTCAGGCAGTAGGGAAAGGAAGGGAAAGAGAGAGTGCCGTCAGACCAAGGGAATCCGTCCGTGTGGCGTATCAGCGCATTCCTCACTACAACAGATCTGAGGCACCTGAGTCTATCACGACGAGCTGACAGTTTCCAACTGATGTCATAACTCAGTCATTTTCACTCTTGAGAGTCGGGCTACAGTAGCTCCCTAATGTGGCACCCTTTATGGCACTCCCGCTCAGGTGAGCTCCTAGCCGCTCTCACAGGAGCACGTTAAATGCCGTGGGGACCAGGTCGTGTGTGGCACGCGTAGACGGATTTTTTGACCTTGTCAGCCACCGCGCCCAATCCCGCTTCTGGTCACCTTACAATCTCGGCAAGTTAGTTGGTCGAAGCGCTAATGTGCTAGACGCTGCGGGAGTCTGCCTCACTATGACCACATTCACACGCAGTTTGCCGGCGCCACGCCAACACCATGAGGCACGCGGTGAGAGTCGTCGCTTTCGATGGTCAAACTCCTGTTATAGTCAAGCCGTGGTTATTGTAAACAGTATGTTAGTACCGACAAAGACAAGGTAGACTAGAATTGTCATTTCTGGTTTATTAGCCGTCGTCAGCCAGTCATACCCAACCCCGAAGCGGGGCACATCCGAGGCTCGAACTCGCGACCTGTTAGTTAGAAGTCCACGCCTCTAACCACTGGGCCACGGGTTTGTTGTCCAGTCGGTTTCGATCGGGAATATACAACGGTAGGGGGCGCTCACCGATCGTTCTTGCGGGCTCTCGCTCTCTCGAGCCTAAGCAGCAGCCGCACAGCAGCGCATGATATAGGCAGTATGCTAGTTGGGCTCGAGAGAGAGAGCCCGTAAGGCAGAACGGAACGAGTGAATTCCGTAAGAACGATCGGTGAGCGCCCCCTACCGTTGTTATTATGTCAGCTATTCATGTTATTTCACGGGCTTCTATGGAAATTACGTCATCAGCAAACGCAGGTTGACATCACTCACCTCGATTGTCTCCATGCAACTGCAAACCAATCCTAAACAACGTTTCTTTATAGGGCCCCTTCCAGTGGTAGTTTACATACTGCATAAATCTAACCAATATCCTACTGGATCCTTAAACGACTCCATGGCTTGGGGTGAAATCCAGGAAGCAGTCAACTTCTTAATCACTTTTTGAATCAGACTTTGTTTCAAGTCAGGGGTCCGTCTGCTTTTGTTGCCCCATGTACCAACCAAGAGGGCATGGCCGATCTCGAGGGCGTTGTTTTAGCCCATTCATCTCTCCGTTGCGCGGCCAACCTGCATTCAGTTCGTTCTTTCGGATCTTCATATTTAAAAGGGCAGGTAAGCGTGGTATGCGGTGATCCGTACTTGATTGCCCGCCGGGGCCGCATTGAACATTGTTCGAGTACGTACAGGTGGTCTGGAGTGGCACGTAGTTTTAACGCTTAGTCTTGCAAAGGTGCTGGTTTAAGAAGGCTTCTGAACAACCCTTTGGGATAGTTATATCGCAGATTGCCATGCCAAACATACGCTAGTCTGGGTATTCGAAATGGCCTTATTGAAGTAATACATGCCACTTGAAATTTCTGGTCGATTAAATGCACTTTACGCCTTGACAATGGGGAGTCGACTAAGCTCTTTGAGATGTCAGCCCATAAATAAACCCGTTCTGGTGAGCCCGTCTTTTTCTTCAAATTATCAACCCGAATCTGTCAACTTTGCCGATCTGAAGTAATACAGTTTGCTTTATCAGCGGAGAATTTAATCCGGATCTTCTCTTTTAACCAGACTCCTCCTCGAAATCGGCCTCGGAGTCAGTCAACTCACAATGTCCTCCGGAGGGAACCGCGCAACCGTCGACAGACTTCGCAACCGAGGAATCAAAGTAACTCCCCTAACACTTTGTTGTGCCTCTTTCTGGTTATGAGTTGCCCTAGCCTAGACGACGTTCTTGTCGAGCAAGAACTCGCCTTTCGCCGCAATAGGACCCCTACAAGTTTAGCTATAGAGCACGGATCATAGCCTTCTGCCCTTTCAGATGTCCGGTCTTGGCTGTGGTCTACCGGACAGAGGTTGTGTAGTGCACACCGGTGTACTCTAGTACGGACGCTTCCATCTATCTCCTCAGCACCTCAATTTACACTTCCGTTGGCGGGTGTGACCTCATTCAATGACTGACAACAGTCGGCATCTCGCAATAGCCCTCTGACCCGCGACCTTTTTACAGATGACCAGTATGCCCGATCGGTGCCCAACCCTTCCTGAAGATGTTGGCACTGTATTCGTCAGACCGGGGCGCCTGCTTGTTGCAGAGATAGCCTTCACTGAAGGCCGTCTCTCTAGATGCGGCCTATGGGCGCGTCCGCTAGTCCGCGGTTACACTACGAAATAACCACACCATTTGTTACTGGATTCTACTACATATTCCTCAGCTTCTTTTCTTCGCCCTTTTTCAAAAAAAAACATTTCGCTCGAAAATAGCATCAGGGGAGCAAAATTTTGCAGTTTACCTTGGGCAAACGTGGTGTGGCGTAAGCCCACTAAAATGCTTACATACATTAAGTAGGCTTCCTATATTAGGATTGGCACGGGTAAAACCATCCTACTCAGTGCCTATTAGTAGTACAACCTGGCGTAACTTGCCATTTATGCATGAAGGGTTCGGTTTACGTTCTGCAAGTTTTTATGCTTCGTAGGTGTTCTTGTTCGTCGACCTCTAGTGGCTTTTTCTCTTAATGGGCCATGTTGTGCTAAAGGCAAGTAGTAAATTTTTTGGGCAAGATCTTTGTTTCTCTTGCCAGCTGTTGACGCACGCTATCTTGAGATAAAGCAGGCCTCCCTTATTGCGCAAAACGACCAGCAGAAGTTCAACTTTCCTGTTAACTTTATCGCGTTGGGCAAATGCCGGATAAAGCACTTTCATCATGATCGGTTCGATGTTTATACGTTTCTTTCTTTCTCTCTATCACTAAAGGTCGGAAGAAAACCAGATGAAGTTTATTGCCCCACGCTAGGATTATGTGATAGTGCTATCTCGCAGGCGACTTACCATTATGTCATTGAATAACGGTGTTTCCCTTAGTTTAGTAGCATTTATTATTCAAATATTTGTGTTACTGGGCTATGCATAGGATGAGTCGTCAATCCCCGATGAAGGTATCAATGTCTTTAAATATACTGACCGATGCCGACCGAAAGTCTCCCTATCATGGATGTCTGGATAGATCTGTTGAAGCGCTCACTTTATATGAATGCGTACCTCTGTTTGTATCCTCTTTTTTTAGTCAGGATGTTTATAATTCGCTCACCCTCTTTATATTACTTTAAACAAGAACTCTTGTGTGTACGTGTGTTCTTTCGTAGAACTGGAACTGCCACCGCAGAGGAGAGGACTGTCCCTTCCCTATAATTCCTGCAGTCTTCATTCATATGCCTCTTGTCGCCGAATGTGACCGAATCAACCACAGCCACGGCCTCACGTGACGCCTCCTTAGCCACTTTTTCTTCTCCGTCTTTTCCTTCTCAGGCCTCTGTCCACACACTTTCCAAACCCCCATGCTCCCTTCCCCAGCTCCGCACAGACGCGAACTGACTGACAGACTGAAGTCTCGTTGCTGCCCTGCTTCTTCACCCCCTGTTCCTTATCCTCACCCTCTTTCGATGCACAGTGCCGAGGTTTCCGCATCATCATCATCATCATCATCATCATCATCATCATCATCATCATCATCATCATCATCATCATCATCATCATCATCATCATCATCATCATCATCATCATCATCATCATCATCATCATCATCATCATCATCATCACCATCATCACCATCATCACCACCACCATCATCATCATCATCATCATCAATCACTTCTGATTTTCCATCGCTAACGGTCGGCCACTGATTTGCATATTGAATTAGGACGCCGCGTAGTCGCGGTGGCTGCCTATCTGACTGAAGTTGATCCTGCGAGTCCTGTGGTGTACATTGGTGGCAGTCACTCCCTGCCGTCTCCCGTTCCGTGTACAGCTTTCGTTTTTGATCTGCTCCGCACCTCCCCGCTAGCGGGGGGTGGTCCGCTCTCACGATCTCGTGAGGCGATTAACCGCACACTCCTTCCGAAATTCTGGAAATGTATTACCTCTTATTCTCGTTCTTTTTGCTCCGTTTATAAGGCTAGGGCGTTTATAGGCATCCGCATAGTTAGAGGGTGATGAATTATCGTGATGTGACAGTTATAAGCTAGCTGGGGTCGTTGGCTGGTTTCTGGTACCTGAAAGATGCGTATGCGTGGCCGTATGTTTATACTGTAGGGGAGAAAAGTCGTACGCTTTGGGCAAAGTACAAGTGTCAGTTGAAAATTCCGTTCAATTGATTGCCGGATGCCGCAGAAAGCGGACAACTGAGCGGTACACTGCCGAAAATCTAACCCTTTGGCTCTCCTCAGAGAGAAAAAGATTGGCGACGCTTCCTGTGCCGCAGATGCCTGCCGGACCACATGACCCCAGAGACGGTTTTGCTTTCCACTATTCTTTGATCCCGTTCCCTGTCGCTACGTGAGTAATATCTCAGTTGTTCGATTCATCAGCTCAGCATTTGGCTTTACGCTAAGAAAGATTGCGCGGGAGCGTGTCGCTTTTCTGGTTGAAGAGCTGAAAAATGCGGGATAGATCTTCAATGCCCAACAAATTTTGTGTGTACTTATCCCACCTACCGAACAGATTGTTGAACTCTGCCCTGTCGATGTTGCGTGGATGTTTCGAGGCAAGGGTATGGTTTGTAGCCGGGGTCAGCGACAGATAACCTGAGGACTCTGTCTAACGGGAATGGTGGTAAAATGAGTTATACGGTTGAGGCTTTCGGACGCACGCAAAAATAATTAAAACACCCTTGAGAAAATAAAAATAAGTAAAATAACCTCGGAAGCCTTTTACTGTGCTTAGAAGGTAAACGGTAAGAAAGCGCACAAATTCGAAAAGCTAACCAAAACGGTCGTCGGTGAAATTCAGGCAAGTGCATAACCAAAGCTCAGCTTCCAAGGGAATTAGCAACCAATGGGAATTGGCCGTGGGCGTTAGTCGAAAGTGCAAATAACTCAGATTGAGAGCTGTGCAAGGAGATGCAATAACCGTCTGGAATTTACAAAAAATGTGAAACGAAGGACAAGAAGGAGGTATGACAAGTTAAGCTAAATGGCAGTAAGAAAGAATAAAAAGGAAGACAAGTCTGGTAATATAAGTAGGGATGACTTACCCAGGTGTATGCAATGGAAATAAATTATAGCATATAACGGAGATTTCAGCACGAAAAATAAATTCACAACTTGAATATTGAAATGCACAAAGACGGCCAGTATAGGCATAAGCGTCAGTATCTGCAAGCAGGAGGTAGTTGCTATAGTAGAAAAAGCGATGAACAGTAAACTAATTCTTTTTTTCAAACACGGAGCGCCGCTCAAACAAACTGCAAGTCGCAGAAGACCTCGGAGGGACACAGAAATGCAAGTTGGGGAGATAATGGAAATACTGAATTGCGATAAGGTGGTGCAATGTTGCCAAGACAAAGAAGATTACATGAACGAGGAGGCCCTGAGTCAGGCCGAGCTGTCTGGACCCACATTAACGAGATACAATATCGTTTAATAGTTTGCACTAAACACCGCCAACTTAAAACAAGCGTGGGAAACCTTCCTGTTCCACATGGCTGAGGTTTACCCTGTGAAGCAGCCGAACAATTGATAACTCCGATGCAACTGATACACCACAGCCAATTCTCTCAGCTCTGAGTATTGTCATGTCTATAAAGTAATCCCAAAATACTCAGCCTTTGATATGCCATTGATTGCGGACAAGGCTTTCGCATGACATCTAACACGTCTGCAGTGAGAAGCAATTGTTTGTACTTAGTGTGATAGTCGTTTGATCATCTTCATCCGGATCAGTCATTGGTTGCAGTTATTTCACTGGCCGGTGTGGTTGATTACTGAGATAATGACTCGGGCATTTTAGCTCGCCGTCACTTTCATGGGGGAAACGTCCACCTCGCGCTCCCTAAATGATTCTGATAAGGCGTCAGCGGTTAGATGATACTTGGTAGCCCTCCTGACACCGCAAACTCCCAGCTGCCTGTCAATCGGGACCGGTGATAATAGGGGCCATACGGGTGGGACAATTGAGTGTACGGGTAAATGGCGATTGTAGTATATGCTAGGAATTGACGCTCCAGGTAAAGTGGAAGCCTAATTCAGATTAGGTGAAAAATACAAGGAAGGTATGGAAATGAGCAAGGAGACTTTGAACGGTGTGCGGAATAAATGCATCCTAGCCTCAGATTGGAAAGAAAAGCAAGTGAAGGCGAACAACCAATGGGAAGAAGGCAACTGGTCCGAAGGTCATTCCGCAGTGTGTGCGATAGAACTCCATCCAACATAATGGACAGAAGAACGCGAGAGTCAAGCAGCGGCACGCGGGACGCCACAACGCAGGCCGAGCAAGACTTTAATACGAAAAATTGGTTTGGGTGGAAAAGAAAATCCGCAGATAATGAGGCAGTCGAAAGCTACTTCTGCTAATGAAAGTTGATAAAAGGTAAGCCTCATTGTCATCGTTACCGGTACCAATCCGCCTAAGATAGTACCTCTACAATGAATGACGCAGGCAAAAGCTACCTCTTCTTATGAAAGTTGATGTAGGGAAAGCCTCATTGTCATCGTTACCGATGCTAATCCGCCCAGGACAGTACCTCCACAATGAATCTGCCATAGGTGGTACAGCGCGCGCGTAAATTTAGAAGCATATTGAGAACGTAATCATAGCTACTGAAATCAAGCCAGTAGGTACCGTTATGGATTCTGTGGGCACGCCTGCCAACTACCTCTTCTAATGAAAGTTGATATAGGGTAAGCCTCATTGTCATCGTTACCGGCGAAAATCTGCTCAGGATAGCTCCTCTAAAATGAATCTAATACAGGTAATACAGCGTGCGCGGGAATTTAGAAGCATAATGAGAACGGAATCACAGCTACTGAAATCGGGCCAGTAGGTACCATTGTGGAGTCTGTGGGCACGGCTACCAACTATCATCTTACCATGTCAGCCCTAGATAAAGAGGTGGTGACCACCGATGTTGATGTCCTGCGGAGCGCAGATCCATGACCTACAGGGCCTGCGGCACACGCAATCAATCTCGTCGGATTTCAAGACGTGACAGGATCTTATCAAGTAAACCACGAAATTTCCCCTCAGCGCAGATTTGCCCGCTTTCTTCGTCTCCTTTGCCCTCAACTGCGATATATCTGCTAAACCGCCCCAGACTTCTTTCACTGTAGTAGCGGGTTTTTCGGACTCAGCGTGAGAAGGCGTACCCGACGACCTCTGAGACGTCCTTAGCTTAGAAGGATGTCTGCAAACATTTGGCTTCAGGGCGGTGTAATCTCTTTACAGCATATACCGGTTGCTGGAGTTTCGATTTGAGTGACCACAGTCCGGTATAATTGTCTTCCGATTCACTTATGTACCTCTAGGCTTGCTGACATTACGTGCTCACACAAGTGGTTGTGGATGTTTGGGGGCGCATGCATTGTATGCGCAGTCTCAGTGGGCACCTTGCTTTGGGACAGACCTGTGTCAGCTAAATGACCGATTCGGACAGTGGATTAATGCCCATGCGGGAGGGAGAAGAGATTGAATTCGGCCCGGGAAACTGCGTTTCCACGAAAATTTGCGTACATTCCCCACTGAAAACAATCTGAGGTGCCTCTAAACTATCACGATGCCCATAAAAACTTGAAAAACGTCCGCGCAGTACAGGGATGCAGGTTGCGGTTGCCTTTTCTAAATGTGGCCGCTATGGCATTCTTGATCATCTGGGATCCGATCCGATCCGATCCGCCGCCGCCGCCGCCGCCGCCGCCGCCGCCGCCGCCGCCGCCTCCTCCTCCTCCTCCTCCTCCTCCTCCACGAGAACCTGGTCTATCATGCGGTGACCAGTCACGTGTGTGTGGAACGCGTCATCCACTGCACCCTACCCCGCCTTCGGGCTTATTGAATCTATCATGACACCGAACCCAGGAGGATGAGGAGGGGGTTCGGTAGATACGGCGCAAGTCCAATATCATTGCAAATTAATTCACGCTCAAGTCGCCGCGCCCGTGTCAACTCGGCTGCGAGACCCACGGTGACCATCATCGTTCACGAAGGTCAGACTTGAAGAAGGAAACACGATTTCTGGGACGAGAGCTTTATTAGCCTGACGTTTTGGATTCCTGCCCGAACCCCTCATCAAAGACAAAAGCAGATATAGGTGGTACATGCACGAGGAGCTGCAGTATTTATAGGATGCAGTCGTCATGCTACCGCATATCTATGAATATACACGGCTCCCACCTTCGTCGGGGATCGTTGCACGTGGCGTGATGACCGATATTCGCGCCGTTAATTGCTGCAATCTCATCGCGTGCGTTGGATGTTGGTGTGATGATTGCTCGACCATCTGATGCACCGACTCCGGCGTTGGGAAAAGTGCTCACCTGTGCGCCTCCCCCCGTGGCCAATTACGCCGCCACGAGTATGGAAGTGGAAGATCATTGCACTTGTTAATAGACTCGGGGCCAGTAAACCATGACTCAAATAGGTCCCGGCTCACTCGATTGTCACCTCTAGTGAGAATTTCTGCCTCCTCGAATTTGAATGTGGGCCCAGATCTCGTCCAATGAGCCGCAACTTGAGAGGTGGTATCATTTCTCCGCACAACTGCAGAATGGTCGGCCATTCGCGTTTGGAGTTGTCTTCCAGTTTCTCCGACGTAGTTGCTTTGTCCGCAACTGCACCAGACCCGATAAACGACTCCAGACGTTTCTTGCCGGGGCAGTGGTTCTTTCGGTTTCATTACCTGACGCCTGATGGCTGCCTCCAGTCTGTGTGGGATTTCAACCCCAGGTGGTGCGGCAAGGCGGCCGACAGCTTTCGAAACGTTCTTGACATACGGAAGCTCTCGCCAAGATTTGGTGTTCTTGCGGTTTCGTCCCTTTTGCGTATGCACCGATTGACGAAGTTGTGCGGGTAGCCATTGGCTTTGAAGACCCGTCGGAGGTATTGTAGTTCGGCAATCTTGTCTTCCGACTCACGCAGTGCATTTTGACACGCCGATAGGGCGTCCTCACATAAGTGCGTTTGTCGCTGTTTGGGTGGTTCCTTAACACTTTAGTCTTTAGTCCACCATAATCTTTGCGGCATACGAGGACATCCGGGAAGGCCAGCCGGTTGTTCTCTTCTTCTTCTTCCTCCTCCTCCACCGTTGTAAATTGTATGTCCGTGAAGACCGCATTCAGATGCTCCTTGAATGTCAGCAATGGTGCATGAACCACCCGTATCTGCTTTTGTCTCTGATGATGGGTTCGAGCAGGAATCGGAAACGCCAAGCTAATAAAGCTCTTGTCCCAGCGATCGTGGTTCCTTCTTCAAGACTGCTTTCTGGGACTCGTCTTTTCGCTTCTACTGGGAAGTTCAGGCTGTCGTGTCGAATGTAGCACATCCACTGACTGGTGAATTGTCTGATTCGCATTCTTCGACAACCCCAGTCCTCCTCACCTCCTTCCCAACCGAAACATAAGCTGAAATGTTCTATACCATTGTCATTCGAAAAACTGAAAATTGACGCCCTGACAAATGTATCCACTCTTTGAAATACGCTAACGACGAAACTCATTTCTGCATTTAACGGATGTACACCGTTATCCTCCTCGTAGGCCTAATGATAGACTTCAATCAGAGCCCGAAATCTAGAACTGTGAAATCCTTCCTGTTGTGTCCATTCATCCTTCTAATAGAATAACTGTTTAACTTTCCCGGCTATTGCATATAGTTAATATTGCTTTTGACTAAAAGTACTCGGCCTTATAGTACAACCTATAGAAACCCACTATAGCTACTTGAATAACTTGAGTAGATGAAGGTATCACTCGAAATGACCATATGGTGCAGTGCATCGAAGACAGAAAGACAAGACACGCGAACGCCCACCCTGCTGTACGTCTTCCTCGATAAAATGAATCTGAATTGCGAATACTAGCGTCTGTCGATTGGTTGGTCTGAGTGATTGGTAACCTGGGATCTGAGGTACAATTTTGACGCTGGTCAGGAACAGCTGTCAGGCCTGGCCAACTTGTGCTCTCGTCAAAAAGGCGTTTACTTCCTTGGAACTATGGACGATGCAAAGTAGGTGGCGTAATGCGGTCTGAACAATTTCAAATTCGTGCTTTTCGCTAAAATAGCATCGGAATTTACGGAGAGAATTTGAGTCGAAGTGCAGTAGTCTAATGGAGTGTAGAATGAAGGGCTCAACTGCAGTAGGTGAGCTAACTCATGAAATGTTAACCGAAATTCCGAAATGCGTTTTCCTTTCGAAAAGATTAAGTAATTAGAGTTGTAGATTTAATCATCTTGCAGTATAATTCTATGATAAATCAGTTACCTCAGGATGCTGGCCTTCAAAAGAACTTCTTTCCGCCTGCATGCAAAAAACTTTGCTCCGTAAAAATTACTGCTTAAATAGCATGCATTTTTCGCATTGATTTTCGATACTCTTAAAAATTCAATTATGTTTCATAGAGAAAATGCATAAAAGTATTTGTTATTTGAAAAGTCAAATTGGCGAACACGTGTTTTCAGTAACTCTTCATCAGGCCAAAATGGTTACAATGAAGTTTTAGTTATGCGAATTACATGACTTATAAATGATTCAGGGACAATTAACATCGATCGTTCCCACGCCACTCGCATGACGAGGTGTGCTATGG